CTAACAAATATCTTTGACTTTGAAGTTACATTTTACATTTGTTTGTGTAGCCATACCACGGTTATATAAATCAGATGATATTGGTAATGATACTCTGCAGTTATTTGTGAGAGGAAAATGGGTTGATGTTGTCGATATCGGTCAATGGGATGCAAATGATGCTATGGTTACTTGTAGACACTTTGGATTTCCCAATGCTGTGTCGGGTATGTTGAAAGTGTTTTCAATATGAGGTGTTATTTTATTGTATACGTATACAATGACGCGTTGCCTTTGAGAAATATTGTACATAGTACAATGACACTAAATCCTATTAAAAATCACAGCCAGCAGAATTAGAGGTTTTCATGAGATCATAGATTTTAAACTAATTAATACAACATGGACGTTACTACAGTTTCGAAATTTCCGCCAGAATTTGATTTGATAGAGTGCAATATTCTAAAGCAGCTTATCTATTAGCATTTATAAGACCTGTTCGCTGATAGGCAAAATGTTCGAAGCAGTGATTTTCTTTTTGTAATCATGCCCAGAGTGTTATGAAGAAGTAGTAGTTATTATAATAAAATCTAACAAAAACATTGTTTAGTTAGGCTGTATCAAAGTATATCAATTAGTATAGCAAAACAGCATTGACTATGAGTTGGAGATAATTGGAGACTGTTTTACATTGTTTAGAAAGCCTATACAAGCAATTGTTGCTATGCTACGGACACGTGTCCTCTGGCCAGTCACATATGCCTTGATATTACCATAAATGATTGGCAATCACATATACGAAACTATCTACAGCTTGATACACACAGTAAGTTGAAGATTATATAAAAATAATACTGAGTATGATATTATCGTCTACGTGTCGCATAGAAGTATGCGATGTATCTAATAGACCTTTAATCAATTACACAACCGACTATTTCTGTGATTTGTACATTTTTACAATGACCTAGAAGCCAAACATGTAACAACAAATGTTACGAATAATCAGCAGTCGAAATGCAATGTTCAGAAGAATAGTCAAATTTATATCAATATTCAACTTCAGTTACTCCAACAAACTACACAATAAGCATGAAATGCGATATGCTGTGGTTGCGGTACCCAGAGGCCACACAAGTTTATTACGCGTACCCGCCCCCCTCACAGAAAATAAAGCTCCATCTCGAATACATCGACCGCCCAGGAAAACCAGGTATAAAAACCCGATAGGGGAGGGGGCTGGAAACCTGTAACCACCTACTCTCAGGCACCTGGCTACCTAGCCAGTAACCAATCAAAGAACGTTGGAGTTCCAACTGTGAATATTTTACATACGAATAGATACCAATTATTTGCAAAGTACCGGTAATTTATCATTTCCAATACAAATACAATATTAATGTCAAATGTAGACATAACGCTTGACCTTCATGTGTTTATTACAATTATAAAAGAACAAAATGTATGTTATATATTAAAAATACATTACAATAGTGTGATATAATAATTAACCCTAAAACAATATATAATACATTATTCAATTGATTATGTTCATTTTTTGGTGACATTTCTTTAGTATTGCCTTTGCTCATATGAACGCAATATCTTTAAGCAGTTCACATTTACATGTCAGACTGTTGTAATTGTTAGTTTTGCTTATTTATTGTAGCTTGGTCTTTGAAAACGTTTGTACCAATCACCGGACCAGGATGTGTGATAAATTGCCAAGGCAGTGAACTGTCTCTTAACGAATGTGAAATAACTGAAGTTGATGACGTATACTAGATATGCTGGAGTGACATGTGACCTCGGTAAAATACACATTTAATTGCATTTTACACTGTTACATTATCAGATCGTACAATATGACAAGATAAAAACTGGATATTTAATTTTATAATTTATATTGGAAGTGGTTTGATGCTAACAATTCAAAAAGTAGCATTTTATACATATAACAAGGTCTTACTTAAATAGTGTTAAACTTTTATTCATATTGAATAACAAATAATCAATTGATAGGTATTAAAATAAAATCTGTTGTTCATATGTAGCCTAGTATAATCCATCTTCACTAGCCAAGCTTCATTTATTTACTATGTGTTATATAAGGGCTAGAAATTCAACCGATTAGATAAATTCATTTCATTGATTTGTTTGCCGGGTCATTTTTCACTATACTAAAACACAGCTACGGTATATGACCACTGTAAAATGTAAGATAACATTCGTGTGCATAATGCAAATTATATGTTCTCAGTATAATGTGAACATATAGTTTCAGTCGTCACACGTTTGAAAACATAGCAACTATATGTCTCCGAGGCAAGACTGTGAACCGATAAGGCTTTGGGAATGACTTCTGTCACAGTGTAAGGCTTGCTTATCGCAAATGAGAAGGCCACCAACAGAACTCACACTTGACAGGGGATTCTTTCACTGCTAGTATGGGGTAGGCAAGACAATAGTACTGGAAATATAATGCACATACACCAACATATCAAGTTATAGCTCCTGGATTTAATACCTCTCAAAATAATTACAAGAAATAAAGCACAGAAAAATACAATGAATAAAGTCAGTAAAATAAGGGATGGCTTAGGAAAGTGTGCATTGGTGATAACTCAGTTTCAGGATGTTTTATTGGACGACAGTCAATGGCTTCTGCAACACAACAACTGAGAAATACACGAGTCTTGCTTGCAGAGGAACGCTGGGGTTCTCGAGGGCACCGCTGAAAGTAGGAGATCGCAGAGCAGTTCATACAAGTCTCACAGAATGATGGCTGGAGCCTGTAATATCGTATCGTAGCAGAACACACAGGAAAGCAAGTTGAAGTGACAAACACCAAGTTGAAATAATCGACCCAAACCGTCCTCATTCTGTCCAATTTTTAGACAGTGACACCACCTGGGTTTCCACATGAGCCAATCAGAATGCGTTCTCGCTAGCAGCTGTGTCACGTAGGCAACTCAGTAGATCATAAACATCCCTTGTTATTCAAATAACAGCACACCTGGTAGAACATACTGTCCTTCCAGAGTTGAAAAGAAGTATGACCTGTCAATCACCTTTATGACAGTTATCACAATGCACACCGTTTCTTTCCATGATTCCATGCACACTTCTATTTCCAGGGTTTGAGGTAATATGACAAAAACATGAAATAAAGGATGCTGACAACTTCAATATTTTGCACAGACCGACCCTTGCTTTGACCGGACGCTTCGGGCTGTCTGCTGTAACGGACTCATAGAATCGACTGCGATGCCTGCGTCAAATACGCATTATAACAGTCAAGCGATGTTCTAAATAAATTGTTCGACCAACTGCAGTTTTTATTCAATACTAGGCTATATACAGAAGACAAGTCTGGCAATATTAACCGTGAAAAGGCTGCCACAAATGCATCGGCGATTTTCCGCGATCGGCAAGATAAAGCTCATATTTATGACAAGTTGTGACATGCTACGCCAATCCTGATTGGGCGCATGCTTTAGAGGCGCCTCCAATAAGATCTATGGATTTTACAGAATCTGAGGTAATATACGAGACTTATCAGTGCAGTCCCGTTGGAGAGTATGTTTACATTGAGCTCACAAAACCGCGCGATTCTGTTGATGAATATACCCTGTATAATAATGAAAATTAACTTTTTTGCATAAGGTTTGTGTGCTAAAATATTATTTTAAACCATAATACATTATGTATTATTACTATAGATAATTTCAAACCAAATCATTGTCAAAATTATACATTTTGTGAAGATGGCTCGAATATTTACACTTGCCTTTGTGCTGGTTCATGTCTAAAACGTCAATATTTATAGACCTATAGCGCGCTATATATGCTTGTTTCTACTGTGTGTTTTTTCAATAACTGGCAGTTATCATCTATCTTAACGACAACTGACGGCAACTTTTAGGGTTGAGGTCTGGTGCAATTCTGAGGTGGGAATTTAACTTTAACATACAGGTTGACAGAGTGATACCGTGACTGAGTTTTCTGTAGTCCTATCAAAGTGTTTGTTGTCACATCGTATCTGTGTTTGGCAAACTTTGATATAGAATATTGCAACAATAATCTGTACACACCACACTTGATATAAGTATTAAATAGTTTAAAGCAAGGTGTACTCATGAATCATGCGTGAACTACCTCGTGCTAGCAATTGAAGACTATTTTCAACAACCAAAAAATAGGGCAGTTTTATCATAGAAAAATGGTGATCATGATCGACCACGTTTGACCACTGTCACTGTGAAATATGATATCGACTAACGACGGACAGATGGTGATTGCTTGGAATGTACAATTATACTTAGTTTCATGCTGATATGCCTTGTTTTATTCAGTATTGACGTCGTTTTAAATGTTTATTTTGATATTTATATTATATAAGGTTTATATTATATAAGGTGTAAATTACTGCAACCCAAACTCTTTTCCAAAATGGTGGACATTGCGATATTGTGTCAAGTTCATATGTTTGCCAATGTGTTGGTGTATATGATGGCAAGCAGTGAATTAGGAATTAGTTAAATGTTCATTTATCTCATTATATATATATATATATATATATATATCCTGTCTATGGTTCAAAGCGTCGTGTAGGAAGTGTTTAAATGTCCATCTATTTCATTACATAAATATTGTGTCTATGGTTTATAGCGTCGAGTAGGAATTTGTTAAATGTAGATTATTGTCATTACATAAATATTCTGCCTATGGTTCAAAGCGTCAAGCAGAAATTGTTTAAATGTCTGTCGATTTTATTACATAAATATTCTATCTGCATTGCATAGCATCAAGTAGGTAGTGTTTAAATATTCATATATTTTATTACATTAATATTTTGTCTCTGGTCCAAAGTATGTAGAACATTTTCAAGGTCCATGTATTTCATTATATAAATTTGTTTTCATTTAAATACATGGCGATAGCTATCTCATAACAACGCCAGTCACAAATGCAAGAATGACGCCCTAGAATAATTATTGGAACATGTTCATTTGTTTAAGATGATCTATGATTCTAATGGTGTGACCTTTGACGAGGCAAAGACAAGGTGTAGTGGCATCGACGCACACCTAGCAAAGATTCGATCCAAGGAGCAGCAAGATGAGATAGAAGACGTGCTTGTATCAAGTGGATATGGTGTTCGTAAGTAATTTACAGAGACCTATAAAATTAACCTTTTTAAAGTAATGTTTATTCCGTATACTGTGGGTAACGTTGATCGGAAAAAGATAATATGATAGTCAATACATATTATATTGTAGATGGCATTTGGTTTGGTTTAAACGATATCGCGGTAGAAGGTACTTGGGTGTTTACGGATGGCGAACCAATTGGATATTCTAACTGGTACCTAAATTATCCGCAAGTTGGTGTTAACAAGCATTGTGTAACTTTGTAAGTAGAGCACATTCACTTTGCAATATAAAAAAATATGTCAAGCTGACACATGTTTTTAGCTGAAAATGGTTTTTAAACCAATGAGTGTCATTACATGTTTAAAATATTTCGCTCAATTTGAAATCAAGTTCTCAATTTGAAATCAGAAACTTGTTGGTCAATTCATGACAGTCGTTGATTTTATATATATCTATCCTTATTTTTAAGAATAGAAATTTATATAGTTGAGATCATTTCTTTATTTTTGATGACCAAGACAAAAGTCATAGTTACTACTTGGTCTGTTCGGTGTGTATTCAAAGTTAGTCTATTAGTAGCTGTATTATTATACAGCATTAAAATAGTCATGTGGCGTAGTTTTCAGTCACTTTCTGAGTGGCTCACACTTTGATATTTTTATCTGTACCATTGTGTGCAAACAATTGAGGTTTCATTGTATTCTGTTCACTGTATGGTACAAAATGTTCCTCGTCGTGCATAACGAGATGCACAATACTTATAGTATTTCAGGGAATTCGGGAAGAGTTAGATATGTGATTCTATTGTTAAATGTTTGGATTATCAAATAAAATAATGTTGGAATTGATTTCAGGTTTCTTTGTTTGTGTATTATGTATATAGTGCACCAAAGTGCCACTGTCATACTTGACATCGGGTTAATTAGAAAAACCTGGATTATAGTCTCAATGGAGGGAAATCCGGTAGCATTTTGCAACATACAGTGTTGACTGATTTAAAGCATTTTTTCTTGTCTACCAGAACTTAATTTATTAATGATAAACCCCGAAAACAAGGTTAAAATTCCACATGTACAATATGCCCGCGGAAATGAAAATAGAATACACTGAAACTAGACAGTAAAATCTGAATTCAATATTACCGCTCATTGAACGTCTGACGAAAACATTTGCACAACATAACGAGTTTATTGGAAACCAAATGCACAAACCACCGTACTCCTTATTGTTAAGTACAATGAACAGTCTATTTAAATCATTTCTATCAAGATATGATTTGTATAATCATAATTTGTATGATAAATATTTGCTGGTGTGTCAAAAGTCGTGGTTCAGACGTTAATCGTGGTATGACAGATGTGAATGGATCGCACAACAGAGCATAGTATAGAAGAATATTGAGGTTAAGGTGTGGTAGAACCTAATGTATGTACTTAATAAATATATTTATTTTTAGAAATAGAGACAACAGAAAATGGAAACAATACAAATGTACAGAATTAAAAAAGCTTGTAGCGTGTGAATATGACTGAGTCTCACCATGATTATTGTATAACTAGACCATAATTGACTGTCTATATCTTTGTGATTATTGTATCACTTGTAGATAACAAGATCATTTCTAATGGTCTATCTTTGTGATTATTGCATGACTTGTAGATGACTAGATCGCTACTGACTGTATATCTCATTGTGATTATTACATGACTTGTAGTTGACTAGATCATTACTGACTGTATATGTCATTGTAATTATTACATGACTTGCAGTTGACTAGATCATTACTGACTGTATATCTCATTGTGATTATTGCATGACTTGTAGTTGACTAGATCATTACTGACTGTATATGTAATTGTGAATATTGCATAACTTGTTGATGTCTAGATCATTACTGACTGTATATCTCATTGTGATTATTACATGACTTGTAGTTGACTAGATCATTACTGACTGTATATGTCATTGTGATTATTGCATGACTTGTAGATGACTAGATCATTACTGACTGTATATGTCATTGTGATTATTGCATGACTTGTAGATGACTAGATCATTACTGACTGTATATGTCATTGTGATTATTGCATGACTTGTAGATGACTAGATCATTACTGACTGTATATCTCATTGTGATTATTACATGACTTGTAGTTGACTAGATCATTACTGACTGTATATGTCATTGTGATTATTCTATGACATGAAAATGATTAGGTCATTTCTGACTGTATATCTCAATATAATTATTGCATAACTTGTAGATGACTACATCATTACTGACTGTATATCTCATTGTGATTATCATTTTCAACTAGGTTACTGGCTCTATATATTGTGGTTTTTGCACTACAAACAGTCAATTCTATATGAACTTTATCCTTGTACTCATCTTGTTTACTACATCACCTACCAGAAAATCCGTGGAAATAATTAATTTCATTATTACTCGTTAGGCCTAATTACAAATTACAGGGAATTTGCAATCTGTGGGATTCTCAATCGACGTAGGATGGAAAGCTGAGGGCAATCGATCGCAGAAAGCTGGTATGCGTCGCTCGAAAACGAGGAAGTCCGCAGTCGCAGCTAGCGATGTGTCCGTTTCAATGAGTGAACAATCTCTCCTTTTCCCTTCGTAGCAAGATAAGGTTTGCCTCCTATCGCAGACTGCGGGAGATCAAGTGTTGCCACAGTCGGACTCCCTGATGAATATGGCGGGATCGACGACTAAAGCAAGACTTTCACAGTCGTCCATTTCCGAGGTGTTGGAGGCATTGGTTTCTACCTCATAAGCATCGACGGTGGGATTTTCCCCCATTGTGTGGAGACTCTCCGTGCGGTATTGGCGAGGCAGGCATGCCTGTTCCATTGTTCTTGCCGGGAAATGGAGTTGCCAATCATTGCTGATACCGAGACCGTGATACACCATGTTCCTTCTAGGGCGTTGACATTGATGGAGAGTACCGAGGTGGGCTCGGTACAGCCCTTATATGCTGAACTGGTTCAATTCACTGAGTCTTAATCAACACTTATGCATGGAGAACACACCTGTTGGAGGGGTCTCAAAGGGCGATGGAGGGGGTGATTGGTACCCTTCGAGAGAAATGTGTGTATATTGGGGGTCTACTCTAGAGGCACCCGATCCCTGAAGAGTCACCTGATTGGTTGCATCCCAGGACAAGACTCATTGTTAGCGAGTAGTTTTAGATTTCTCTCAGTTTTTTTACCATTTCTGACTTTTTGTGTCAAAAAATTTGCATTTAAGCCATTGGAACTTCCCTACCTCCAGCAGGCGTGCTACTCCATATAACGATAATATATTTTCTGGTAGGTATGATTAGTAAACAAGCGTCTAAGTCCCTCTAGTATCTACAAACACTATAGTGTATATGTGTAGTATCCTAATACACGCACTAATTCAATTTCTGCATGTGATGTTCTTGCTACAGACGCTGATAACTATGGCCGCTGAATTATTTTACTGTGAGAGAAGAACGGCATCCACATTGTATCATGCTTCTTTAAATCCTCTGTTTTATATCTACTCAAATATGAGTGCTGGGAATATCTGTTTGATATATGCCCTCTGTGTATTTTATTATAGTTTTGGGGTAACAGGAACGCATCGATTATAATATAGTATAACTTGTTCATGAACTGACAGTGGTGTATTGGTCACAGGTATAGAAAAGGCTTTAGTTTATAAATTAGTAGTTACAGTTATAAAAAAGGTTTAGTTTATCGTCGGTGTTATTTAATTATGTTGTCAACACAGCTATATGCCTTGCCCGTGTGAGTAAACCATCGCATTCCTAGTATATAATAGCCATATGCGTAGGAGGTTACATATAATAACTAGCCTATGTAGGAGATTGCATCTTGATCAAATGGGGCTTATTTTTATGGAAGATTCCACCCTCAATACAAAATAACTTGTATGTAAGTGGTCGCACAACAATTCGTGTGTATATGACATCACACCTTGTTATCATAATAAATCCTGTGCAGTAGACCCTGATTATATATAACGCATATGTAGTTGCGATCTCCTCTGCACACGATTTATATATATTCAAGGTTCGATCTCATCTTGAATGTATAATTACTATATGTTAAATATAAAGTGAGATGTTTACCAATTATAGAGAAATGTTGAATTGTCAGATTTCACTACGTTTTGAGCAAGTTGTACACATTCAAATCATATTTCAAGTCATTTTTGCTTGAGATCGATCATCAAAATAGTTTCTAATAAGTTTGTTGATTATATGAGAATAGTAGTATGAAAGGTTTAACCTTTATTTTATCGGCCGCATATATATTTGAAGGGTTTAGTTTAAAGTTGTATTTCCACTTTGTATTATATACAGAACACTTATTATTATTCACATGAATAATTATCAGATCGATTAATTTAGTTTGCCTGCACTTGACAAAAACAAGGTTGCAGTGTCCAATTTCCAAATCAACATAACTTTCATTCACGCAAGGCCATCTTCGTTTGAATGTTGAATAAGACAGGTTATACAAATTTGAAATGTAATAGCTAATATCAGTTATTGATTTCGAATGAAATACACATCAAGAACTTTCCAGAGATCCATTGCTTGGCTATTTCACCTGTTGGTACTCTGATAAAATGATATATTTCACTGTCAATGTTGTGTGCATTCAGACGTAATAGGTGTGTGAAATAAAATATAAAGTACTTTCAATCCAATACTTGCATGCGTGTGCATGTTTGTAAAGACTCCATAAATGGAATGAAGACGGCGGTTTACGCGTTTAAATCCTTATAATATCCTACCCCTTATCATGTGACTGCATCTAGCTATACCGACTTTTGTGCGTTTGTTATTCTGTGCTCTGAATTCATCTAATTTATATTAATATTTGACTGGCTAACTTATCACTGAGTTGAGCTCCAACCAAATGTTTCTAGTGGGTATGTGCCTTACAATACCAATCTGGAATCAGCGAAGATATCAGCTAACGAAAAATATTAGGATCGTGTTAACCAATCACGAATAAGCAAGTCGCATCAAGAACGTGCAATCGTTCAGTTTATTTTGATTCGTCCCTGAAATCAAAATCGATATTTCCATATCTCATATGCAAGTGATGGATGGGAGAAAACAAAGTAGTCCTTTCAGAAGTACCGTATTTTTAGAAACGTACCATAAATAAACAATATTTAGAAGTACGATATTTTCCCTTGGGGTACATGAATATATTTGCCGAATGACATGAACAACAGTAATGGTACTTTTAAGCAGTCACTTATTTTGACTAAAACTAGTTTTCATATCACCCATGCAATAATGTTTTCGGTATTTTTACGGTCGATATGCAAATGACATGGTATTTCCATTGGCTACCGAACTATTTCATTTTGTAAACACAACGCCAAATGAGCAACATTTTAACCGGTAACCAAGACAATCCACGACCAGCAAACAACATCACAGACGAAGTTGTAGCGTGCAGCTCAGCGAGAATCGCTGTCGATGAAAGTCATACCGTCAGTGGAGTATCGCAGTTGCACGGCATGTTTGCCAATGCACAATACTGTGGAGGAAATTTTAATTTCAACATAAACTGTGTATCATAGTCGCTTCGCTCGTGAAAGTACGGTCACAACGAAAGTCATGGAAGGGGGTCTGTCGTAGTATTTTTACTGAATAAAATTATATAAATATATATATATACTAAAGATGTTTGTGATGATTTCATTAAGCTTCTTTCAGTCATATACAGAAATGAATTTCAAAAATATATGGAATATTGAAAATTCTGTTTTGTTTTTAATATTCATATGAAATTTGTAATTAATATGACGATTATTATTGGTGTGCATATAAAATACATTCCGTTATGAATTATTCATATATTATTTATGAATGTTCTTATCAAAATCAGTTGCTTTTGAAGAATTTTGCAATGTCGAAAACGGGAAATCTTTATTTCATTGTTCTAGGTTTTAAACAAATGCTGGATCAACAAATACAATAGAATAAAAAGATGATTATGTAAGGATAAACATTGCATGAACTTGTGCCTTGAGAAACTTACTAACGTTGCATGCTGATACAATTGCTAAAAATGACTTTGAAAGTGGTCACATGATATCATTACCCAAACTAATGCATCTATTATGAAGTTATACAGAGAAAGGTGAGAAAATCTTACGACACTCCGAAAGAAAAAATACTCCGGAGCGGTTAGTAAACCTTGCACTATCTTGCTTTTGAAATTTAACGTTATGCGCCAAGTGGTATGGGTACTCGTATTTGCATTTTACTCCAACAAATAAATCACCGTAATTTCAAGAGTTTTAAACAAATTTGATGGATCTATCTGTTGCGTTCGTGACAGTAAATTGGAAAATGATTGAAGAATCGCGATTTTTGTTTTGGCCGGCGTGACGAGATATAAAACGGCAAAATGATTGGTTTGAATTGGAAATTGATGCAAGTTTCTACAGGATTGTTGATTAATAGTTCAAGCTCCATGGTCCTCCAAATTAATTCATTCAATTATACTGAGGTCAAAACAGCTTTTCCTTGCACGAACCCGCACAGGTTCGTGGGGACAGTCAGGGATGATCAGCTTCTTCGAAGTACTGATGTTACGTTTGAATGAGTCGACAGTTTCAAGGCTATTACGGGTTGCCAGCCTCTAGTTTGTACTAACCATCACAGCGGGTATATAACTATGGTTGATACCGTTATTACAGATTACAATATTTCCAATACACTCGGCGCGACAGAGGCACTGCCTAGATCCTTATAATTTGAAAGTTTTATACATTTCACAATTCAGAATACAATGAGAGGTTTCTATGGGCCGATTTAATAATATTGAAACTTATTTCAAATGACGTCGTTGCGCTTTGTGTTTGCTGATTGGTTTGTAAGTTATCAGCAAGCAGAACATTTTCCGTTTTAACACAAAACTCATAATATTTAAAAACTACAATACACTTGTTGCGTCGGATATATTCCCCTAATGAAATGTACAATGATGTATGCTTGTCAAATTGAGCTATTTCAAACAATCTACTTGCTTCGACTGAAAAAAAAATAACAATTGTTACAAAACATATGTGCTCAGCATGCTCCGAAAAATCCCTAAGGAGTATCTTTGAGGCCACGAATGGACAAACTCATTTTCATTTAACGAACTTTTTAGGATTATTTAAATATTTCATGTAACAAAAGCGATGTACCAAATTATTTTTCTACTTTTTCTTGCAATTTGTGCACACTAAGAAATGAATATAATAATTTGCAGTCTCGGCAGCCAATGCAGTACTAACAAATAGATTATGTATTCAGAAAACTGCGATGAAAAACAACGTTTTAAATGTTGTATCTGCTTATGTTTATCAGTATTTATACCGCATGATTTAAGAATGCTACATTTTATAAATATCCTATTTGGTGAAAACATATTTTACTGATACAACACTATTGTTGAATAACTCACTTTGGTGAATTTGATATTTTCCCACAAATCATGCATTTCGTAGTCAGTACCACAAAACATAAACAATGTTTCCAGATTCAATTTCAGAAACTACGCTACAAGTGTTACAATAAGATTTATTTACAATATATTTTAATATACAAATATCATATTTAGGTTACGTACTATGGACGGGGAAATTGTTTTTGAATTTAAAACAAATACGTTGAAATAAAAGTATGTACAATTTGTTTGTTAAATTAACAGGACTGAAAATGGAACAGAAAAATCAGTATGTGGGTATGAAGTGCCGCATTTGTCCCAA